TGAGGGCAACTAAGCCTGAATTCCTCTCTGGAGGAATCTGTGAATAGCGAGATATAAAACTATGACTTCCATGAGGCAAAACATCCTCTTCAATGTCTTTCTTTGGGTGAATATGATTCTATGCCTGACATTCTTGCCCCAAACCTACCCTTCAGCTTATCTGGGAGAAAATATTTCTCATCTTTCTTTTAGTTAGTCAGTCCTCCATTAAGCCTATCCAAGCACAGACAGCAGAACTCATGACTGGTTGGAAGATGGCAACAAAGATTTCTTATCCTTCCCCTCAGCCAACATCCACAAGCTGCCTGTTCCCTGCAAGCAGCTGCAGGACCCCTTTCCCTCACTCCGCCTGGGTCTGTGTTTAGGGCTCTGATATGCTTACACAGAGGAATTCCAACTAGGATTTCAAGGGAAGCCTGACTCTCACTCTCCCATAGCCCCCAGCAGGCCGGTTCTGCAAAAAGATACTCCCATCCTCAGTACTGATGCAGCATTTCTTTATGAGGATCTGCTTGTAATTGTCAAGGTCTGATGCCAATCTTTTTAACTGACAATTACTAATACTTTAAAGGAACTATTAAGCTGTGTAACTAAATTCCTATGGGGAAGAGTGATTCAAATAAGCAGTATGGCCTTCTTCCTCAAGACTGGGTTCACATACGGATACGAGGAGTTTCTCTATCTTTCAAAATATATGTATTGAATGTGTAAGTGTCAAGCATTGTTCTGCTTCTGAGGGTATACAAATAAGATTCAGTCACAGCCTTCAAGGGGCTCACAATCCGGATTTCACTCGTGCAAGAACAGAGACAAGTACTAGGTGCATCTGTGGGCAAACCTGAGGGAAACGGGGCTGATTAAAGCTTGGTGTCAGGAAGTCTCCACAGTGATGGTGTTTTGAGTCTTTTAAAACACAAAATGGATACTGAGAGAAGAATTATATCACCAGATATAACGACTGAGCCACCCAGGTGCCCCTTCATCATTCTTTCAAGTATAACCGCCCTCACTCCTGCTTTTGCAGCCCCCCATGACGGCGCGCCTGGTCACCGCCAGCGCCTCCTGAAGGAAGGCCTCAGCCAGTCCGTTGTGTGTGTTGCTGCTTCACCGAACACCCCAGGGCCTTCCTTTGCGGAGGGGCCTGCCCTCTCCTCCACGCTCACTAGACCCATCATGCGCATGCAGCTTGTACCATTTACACATTCACCTCTTCCCCAGGTGATGGTGAACATCTTCAGGGTATCGACTTACCCATAGTTTGAATCACTGGCATCTTACAGGGTGACTAGCAGAGAAGAGGTGAGCAAATCAAACCTTGTCAAATGACTGAGGGCACAAACCCTCTGCTCTCATGACAAGGCCAAAATCAACCCGTGTCTTCTGAACATGGGACCTGCCCTCCCGTTTGTCTTCTTTTCCTGTTCCTCCTTACCCTGAGCTTTCCCTCTACTTTCTCTCTCAGGAATATCCATTTATCTATTTAGGGCAGCAGTTTTCAGTCTTGGCTGCACAGTAGAATCACTTGGGGGACCCTTTACAAATAAACACCGGTGCCCGGCCCACTGAAGCAGATTCTGATTTAATCGGTTGGGGTGGGGCTCTGGTGTTGGTATTTTGTAAATGCTCCTGTGATGAGTCTAAAATGCAGCCAGGCTTGAGAAACACTGATTTAAAGTGATAACTCACCTCCCGTCTTTTAAAAAGACTAATGTGGCTCCGGTGAGTTTACCTTGTCTGGTTTCAAAGCAGGTACCGTCTCAACCACTTATTAGGTAACAAATCAAACACTGCCTTATGACCGCGCTTCACTATTGGTTTGTTCTTTGACTCTTGCACTTCATTTTGATGATTTATGAGTGTATACACACATGGACCATCTCTCACGCTAGACCAGAAGAACCTCGAAGGCAGGAACTCTGTCTTCCACTTCTTTGCATCCCCAAGCCATGCACATCGTGGACCGAAAACATATTTTTGATTATTAAAAGAAAAAAATCCAAAATACTAAAAGATAAAAAAAAAAAAAAACCTAGTAGAGGCCATTTTATTTCCACTTTAAGGACATGCCTTTGGTAAGAATAAAAATGTTGCAAAAAGGGTGGGGCAGGGTAGAAGCAGACTAGATAAAGAGTAAATAAAAGTCAAATGGAAAAAAAACTAAATTAGTCCAAAAGAAAATGTTTCCCAGCTTCTTAAGAGGGTTTTTGCAAACACTGAAGCAGAATAAACAAGAGAATTAACTTGGCTTGTACCCTGATAAGGAGATTTCTTTCTCGGTTATATAATTTTACAAAGTTTCCAGGGTGTAAAGAAAATAATCAGCCAGGGAGGACTCCTTCCCTTGGACTATACAATTCAGCTCTTGGTTTAATCGGCTCGCAGAGCTGCTCAGCTTGACCTGACCTCCTTCCAGCCCTGTGATCTCAGACTAAGCCTCACATTCAAGAGCCCTGGTATAGAGCTCAATGTCATAGAAACGGGATAAAACATAATCCTCATTCCATGTCCTTGATCCCTTGGTGTAGTGGCCTCTGTGCTTTGGTGGGGGTGGGGAGAGCTATACCAGGTATGTTCTCCTGGTGGTTCGTGTTCCAGAGATCTGCTGATGCTGGAATGATCTAGGCATGTTCTCTTACCAAGTAGTGTTATAAAGAAGTATTGCTTGGAACAACTACCTTAAAGACTAGCTTAAAGTACTGTTTTGTGCACATATCTCAGAAAAGGTTTATCTTCATATGGCTTTTCTACTTTGTCATGAAGTTAAGACCACAGGAAAGGCTCGGTGAATCACGATGCACATCTTCTGCTAAAGCGAGATAAGTTCATCAGATGGAGACATGTTTTCAACATCAAATTTCATCCTAGTTATTAGGCCACAAATTGAAGGACTGGTCCCAAAAGGCATGCACATTTCTATAGATTAATTAAGTGTACGTTCTTTTGCCTGGGTTGGCCATTTTAACACTGGTCATATTTTACTTTGCTATAGCATTTTATTATACTTTACTATTTTATTTACATATTTTACTAATTAGTGTTTGAAAACATGATTCAAAAGCATTTAACTCTGCTCTTGATTAATTAGCAATGATAGTAACATGTTGTCATTTGTAGATTAAGATAACACCACTGACTCATTTGATAGGATATGAGTTGATAAACTGTCACTGATCTATCCATGCTGTGCTCCTCATTCTTCTTGTGACTAGTGGCCTGTGTTTGACCTTATGAGCCCAAACCAAGGGCCTCCAAAATCCTGCAGTTACCAAAGAGACATAAAATAATAGCATTTGTCCTATCAGCTACTTCTACTGACATCGAAAAAAATGGAAATGACAGGCTAATTTATTACAACAAAAGGAAAAGAAAAATATGGCTCTAACTTCTTTGTATACTAATAAATGCTAGCTAGAATTGGTTAAACAAGGATCTGGGAGTCTGGAGTCCATGCTACCATATATAACAGACTACATCACAAAATCAGTATGTGCTATCTAAAACCTAAAACAGATGAACTACACATTTTCAAGGAATGGGGTTAAAGATCCATGACAATGAATGGATCAACACTGATTCACAAGGACTTTTGCTTCTTCAAATAAGAGTTTAGGTAGCAGTGCCTGACAGCTGCAAACTGGGTTTATTTAACACAATTTATAACCTACGGTACAAACCAAAGGTCATTAGGTTCTACAGGAACATCTCTGGCTATGTTCCACTGAAAAGAGAAGTATGGATTCAGAACCCAGGATACTTGAATCATTGGGGAAAAGGTATCACTGAGGTAATGAGCACGCCAGGGCCTGAAAACTTAAGAATGTTCCCCTAAACGAAAACAAGCAGCTCCATCTTCTCAGAACATGGCTGACTCAATCATCAAGCTGGAATGTTATTTACATAGTCCCAAGCAAACCAAGAAGAATCCTCTGGTCTGTAACCAAGGGCACTCGGAAAGTTATGTCTGGAACAGGCAAAGGCTAATGTCTGTTTCTGATGATTCCTGACTCCTTGAAAGACAGCCAATTTACCTAATGCAGGTAAAGGGCAACAACTCCTTGCCACCTCCCCCAGAAAGGACCACCAGCATGATATTTCATGCCTCTTTAGTGAATAACTTGGACTGTAATATACTTAGCAAGATGGGCAAATCTGGATTCTGAATTCTGCCCCATCCAACAAATCAGAACAATCACCCTATCTTCTTCCTCCTCCTGCTTGTGGGAGAGGTCATGATGGAACCTGATTCACACAACAGAATAAAGTTGAGGTTAGGCATCGGGAAAAATAAATTCCCTAATTATGAAACATTTTACCAAAGGGGTCAGACTATGGTGTCCCTTTCTTTAGAGTGAAAGAAAGGGTATAGAAAGTTAAACTTTCTGGATGGAAGGGGTGGGGGAGTTCTCATTAGAGGCCAGGATAGAAATAGGGAGCTCTGGGAGAACTATCATCCTTTTGTTGGGGCGGGGGGGTCTCTCTAGCACCTTTTGGTACGTGAACCTACTGGCTTAGTAGTTAATGTACAAGTACCCAGGGTCTGGGCAACTGTTTAATCACATGGCAGGATCTGTCTGGCCTATGGTTTTCAAAGCATACTAACCTCAAGAAAAAGCACCATCACTATTTAACTTGTACACAAATTATCTAGTCCTCAACAAATACCAGCTAAGTGAAATGATCATTCACCCTTTAGAGATGGAGAATTTGAGATCCTTAGAGGGTGGACCTTGGTCACTTCAGAGCCATTGGCAAATATCAGGAGGCATGCTAACTCGATGGGCTCTATTCTTACACATTTTTTTCCTGTGAGCGACTGATTTCCCACTTCATTACAATTGCTGTTGGGGTGGGCAGGGATGCTGGTTTCTTTAGCTGCCCCCTGACAGTGTTGGCCCAGGACAGACAATGTGGCTGATGCTTTCAGAAGATGAACACTCCGATTGCTAAGTACATCTTGTTCTCTAAACTGGACAGTTCAAAAACACTGTCAAAGCACTCACCTGTCTTCTCTCTGAACCAAGGCACTGCAGAATCAGCCGGGTGTTCACACTGTGACTCCAGGTGGTTCCCAGGGCAGCTGTCACACAGCTGGAGCCAGAAGTGCCTGAAATGAAACAGGGCAAAACCATGATTATGAGTGCCCATTTCTTGTAATGGTGTTTCACATAAACAAGTCTAGTTGTTGCTCATTGCTTAGAGACTCCTGGGGGACTCAGTTCACTACCACAAAAGTTGGCAAATTAGAGAAGGAGAGGGGTTAAGGAACATGAGACTAAAAATAAAAACCAGCATGAGTTTCCTTCAGCCTCAGTGAAAGTGACCACCACTGGGCTAAAAGATAACAGAGTTATATATCAATAAGAGGTTGCATGCAAGGCAACTTGGAGCCATTGCTAATAATAAACTGAGCCACTCAACATCCATGGCAGAAAGGCATAATGCTACTGCATAGAATAAGAGCCAGGTATGAAACAGTCTTAGTTTAACAGAGCTGTAAGACTTGTTTAACTCGATAAGAGTCTTAACTCAGTTTTCCTAATCAATATAGAAACAGTGGCATGTGCATATAAAATTCTTTTGCCCCTCCAACCCCTGCACACATGCGAACACACACCCAGAAGAGGAATCCGGAAGATCTAACCATTTCATATCTAATCTGTATTAGACAGTCTTATCCCCAGAGAAATATTCCTTCACCTTCTAAGACTTTCCTGTAAGGGGGAGGATGTGAAGGATTCATCTGAGTTTCCAGTCTACTCCAAGTTGTGCTTCAGCTACTACCTTACATCTCCAGAGCTCCACTGATCCCTCTTTTTTTTTTTTTTTTAAAGATTTTTTTATTTATTTGACAGGGAGAGACACAGTGAGAGAGGGAACACAAGCAGGGGGGCATGGGAGAGGGAGAAGCAGGCGTCCCGCCGAGCAGGGAACCTGATGTGGGGCTCGATCCCAGGACCCTGGGATCATGACCTGAGCTGAAGGCAGACACTTAACGACTGAGCCACCCAGGCGCCCCTCCACTGATCCCTCTTGACATCATCAGGAGGAAACTATTCCTGCGCTCCTCCTCTTCCTTCTCCTTAAAGGCAGGCTTACAAGTCCCACCACTTAGAAGCTTGCCCACACCCCCCACCTCATATCTGGGACATCTTGAGGTCTCCTCTGAATTCCTATGTGCACTTTGGCTCAGGGCCATGAGAGGAATCCTAGCCCTAGGGAGCACAGTGGGACATTCATTATGCCTTGTATCCTCAAGGTGCCATCTCTTTGCAATGAGGAGACTAAGTACAGAGAGGCTGAAGTCCACCGAATTAGCTAAAACAACATGAGGCCTTGAGCTTCTCATTCATTGCCTGCTTACTGTATCATCGGATTTTCACCCCTCAGTCTGGAGTATTGGTCTTTTCTTCTTTTCTTTCTTTTCTGGACCTGTCATCTTTCAGGGTGGTCTACCAACTTTGCATGGCCTTATACTCCTGGGCCCAAATATTATAGCAGATGCATGTGGGTCAGTGGTTCTAGGCTGGAGGTGATTTTGTTGGCAATGTCTAAGTGGAAGTGCCACTGGCATTTAGAGGGTAGAGGCTGGTGATGCTGCCAACCACCCTGTAACGCACAGGACAGGCCCCCATAACAAAGAATCATCCAGCCCCAAAAACGAGAGTGCTGAGGTTGAATGCCCCTGGGTTAGACAACACCAACCATACATTTTCTCTGGTTCAAGCAGGTACAGGAATGAATTAGATGGAAATCAACAACTGGGACCACAACAAGCCTGGGGATTTCCGAAAGAAGAAGAATTTAGCATAGGAAGGAATAAAATTTAGGGTGACCTTAGTGCATGATGTACATCATTCAAAACATATACAAATTAATTTGAAAACAAAATATCTAGACTGTGCTCATCTAATCACATCATTCCCTTACTCAAACTCCTCCAGCAGCCCTCCATGCTGAGGAGAAATACTAACTCCTGAACAATGCACCTGGGGCACTTCATCATCTGCTCCCCAGTCTCTCTCTGGCCCCACTGCTCTAAGCTTTCTCACTGGGTGTCCTCCTGTAGCCTCCTGACTTCTCTGTCCCCATCCTCCTTGACCTCTTGTCAGCAGCTGATAAAGCTTCCCCTTCTTTTGGCATCCAATATACTGCTTCTTCTGAATCCCAATGAGTATTCTTTTCCTTCTCTGCTTTTCTTCTCCCTCTCTTCCTAGTTGTGGGTGGACCCCAGGGGGCTGACCATGACTGCTTTTTCTCCTACCACCCAAGTGTCTTCAGTGGCTAGGAAGGTAATGTGCATTAGTAAAGAGGCCAGGCGTTTGCATCTTAAAATGCAGGAATCCTTTATTACTGCAAAGAGATATACTTTCTTCCATTCTTCTTAAAATATACAACCCTCTTGTCTTCCATTTTCCCCTTTTTGATAGAGACATATTAATAAAGAAATATTTTCTGTTATAAGAAAACCAACCCTGGAAAGGCAATGGCAACTGATTTTTCTTTTCTATTTTTTTCTTTATTGCATTTTATAAAACAGCTTTTTTAAGATAATTCACACATACAATCCACCCAAAGTGTACAGTTCAATGGTTTTTATTATATTCAGAGTTTTTCAAGCATCACCAAAATCATCACCTCAAAAAGAAACCCCATGTGCCTTAGCCATATAAGCCTCAAGCCCCTCTTTCCTGCCCCCCAGCCCTAGGCAACCATTACTCTGCTTTGTGTTTAATACAAAGTATTGGGAGATGACAGGGAGTAGTGGAGACTGTGGTGAATGAGAGCATCCAGCCGTGATCGCAAGGGGGCAGACCCTGGCTGCTCTAGTTATTGCTGTCACGTGACAATATGAGTTCATAGTCAGCCACATCTTTTGACTTTTAAAAGAGAAGCCAGAAGTCGATGTTTTAAGTACAATCTCCTGGTTTTAACATGTTGGCTTAATTTAACAATTTTTGCAAACACAAATGAACATACTTAGGAGCCATATATCACTCATTCCCACCAAGCTTGCAACCTCTGCTCCATATGGCATGGCCTCATTGTTGACAAGGACGACACCCCCACGTGGATGATTTTGAAGGCTTTGTCTCAACCTATGACTGGCCTTAGCACCTGTTCTCCTTTATCAACAACAAGAGCTACAAGCTTGACCTAATGAATTTCAGCACCGTAAACTGAATATCTTCTAATCAAGCTTATGTCTTCCCATATAACTCACTCTTCTTTCTTTGTCCCTTTCTTTGGCCTTCTAGTTAATCTGGCTCATTCCATTTTTAAATTTCTCCTTCTCTCGTGCTTCTCAGTTCCAATAAATTGTGACGTTCTATTGATTGAACTGTAAAATCTCACCTATATCCATTCCCTACCCTCCTTTTTTCCTACCCCAACCTTAGATCAGACCCCCATTAGCTTTCACCTGGGGATGGCTGCTAGAGCTTTCTAACTGATGTCCATGTTGCTGTCAGTTCCTCCTCACTAAAGCCCATTCTCTCTTCTGCTGATTAACCTCCCCAGGCACACACCTAAGCACACTCCCCTGCCACTTCTGATCAAGCATGCTCGAAAACTTTCAATGGCTCCCAAGTGCGTCCAAAGAGTTCTAAATTCCTCAGATTGGCATTCAAAGCTCTTCTAGTCTGTGCGCAACCTGCCTTTCCACACAGCTCCCTCCATTCCACTTCATAGAGACTTTGCTCCAATGTAATCACTTCTTCCCCATGTCCCTTCCACACCTGAAATGCTTCTAGGTCCACACGTTGTCTTCGATACCACTTCCTGCACTCCACTTTCTTGGTCATCACAGACATACTGTCTTCCTCCTCTAAATTCCCATAATACTTTATTTCCCTCTCTCATGTTTCACCATTTTCTCTCCTGTGGTGTATTCCTTGTGTGTGCTTTTCTTATCACCCCTAATACATATTTTAAGAGGGCCAAATCCATGTCTGATTTATGCTAGTCTGCCTGAATCACTTAACTTATGCCTCAGTCATTCTGTGTCACTGACACACAGAAGATACTTAATAAATCCTGATTAAATAGTGAATAAGTTATTCCTACTCAACTTTGAACCATGTTATATATATTTGTTCTAGCAGCACATTTACATTCTTAATTAATAGCATTCTCACATTTTTCAAACAAACTTATTAGAAGCTTATTGCTTCTAACAAGATGCCTGCTAAGTGATAAGATGAAGTAAGGCTGAGCTTTCAAGTTTGCCACAAAAAAGTTACATGTGACTAATCAAGAGTTAGTTAAGCACTCAAAAAAAAAAAAAATATATATATATATAGGTATAAAATCATAGGCATTTCCCAGATCTGGAAGATGTTTTCAGGAGTCAGAGCCATATGGGGCCAGGGGTGACTATTTAAAGGCTGCCATGTCCCTAAACCAATGAAAACAGTATAACAAAGTACCCATATATCTGGCTGCTTTCTGGACAGGCAAGCTCAGGTCCTGACAAAAGGCCATGAGTGCAAATAACCGTCGAAAAGTTTCTAATGGAAACCCCGAGTGAGTGGCTTGAGGAGATCTACTTTCAGGAGTGCGTACAAACATTACGTCACCACAAGAGCAGTAACAGAGGACCTTGAAAGCTAATGATAAGAAAAGACAATATTTTTAAAGTACTACAAGTGAGGCACTAGGTGAGCCCTTTATATAAAGAGGGCTTATGTCTTGTTTGAGCTTCATGTCTTAGTTACATCTTTTTTTGATCCTCACAGCCACCCTCGGAGGTAGGGAATATCATCATCCCTATTGACAAACTGAGGCTGTGAGAGATTAAGTCACTCTCCCGAGGTCACATGGTTGGTTAATGACAGGGCCGGGACTCAAACCGGGCAGCTGTCTTCACCACGACTCCAGTCGGCCTTCTCCAGGCTCCTTATGTCAAACAGCCCACAACTGGGTCAGCCCGGGGGGACCTCGGGAAGGGCCTGAAGGGCCTGAAGAACCTGAAGGCACCCCTCTGAAAAGACACTGATGGAGGCATATTGCAAGCATCTCATCACTCATCTGAATCTGTGTGTCACTCTGGCTCCACAACCAGCTTCCTCTGTTCTGATACACAGTGATAACTCAGGGCAAGGGATT